AGGACGTTAGGGTTAGGGTGACCATTTTGAATCCCGTAGCATAGTGGTTAGAGCCCTCGCCTCACAAGGGAGAGAACCCGGTTTCGATTCCCGTGTGGGGCAAAACCGTAGGCAAGTTTGAGACGTCTCAACGACATAATAAGGCGCTGTGTGCTACATATGCAAGGATTATTATTATTAAGACGGTCTCTCTCTCTCAGGGTATAGATTATTATTTAAAGACAGGAAGACAAGGCAACCCAACCCTACTTGGTTTGGAGAAAAACGTAACTATTCTCTGACATTTGCAGTTAAGAAATATTAACCAATCTTCATTCCAGTCAATAGCCGGTCTGGTTGACGCGCCTACCGGTGGACGGGAAGGGGATTGCACGATGCCATTTCTGCAAAGGAATTTTCCACCCTCCCCCTTCCCTGTCAGGGAGATTCCCTCCCTCACTCTGTGCCTCCTTCGAGGGAACGGTCTTCACCGGAGCACGAGGGAGATTCAGGTGAAGAAGACCCTAAAGTCGTCGTTCGTCGAATGGCCAATCACTTTCTGGGGGTAATAATCCCTCAAAAAAAAAGAACAAGAAAAATGTAATTCAATTAAAATTTGGTCACTCAATCCACGACCGTTTGTGGGACCCCGTTGTGCGCGATTGGCTTCGCTCACAAAATACATAGTCACTCCACTTTACCGTATATTCTGTGAAGCGTTTGAGACAACTCAATATTGAATGCAAGGATGATTATTAAATAATAATAAAATTCTTCAGCCGTAAAATATAGCCGTGAGGCGCTGTGTCAAACGCGAGGGTCATTAGCACATTCAAAAGAAATCTTGAATCGGAAATATGGCTGAATGAACAAAAAGGACGAAAACTAAAAAAAGAAACTTTACCACTCAAAATTTACTGCAATTACAATTGACATTTGACTTAAGAGTTTTGGCAAGCTTCAGGCGATAAATGAACGGCTTGGATCTAACTTGGTGACATGATCTCAGCTTTCTGCAAGTTAATAAGTAACAGGGTCGTGTATCATTGCGTTGTACCAGGCCATTGAGTTCCAATTGCTAATATGTATTAAAACCTTTCATTTTCATTATCTTGCATTATTCATAACCTGCAGTGAATCACCCGTGCAGAAACTCGTGCCTCTGTTTACCAGCAGTGAGTAAGAACCCGGTTGTTAGTCAATTGGTGGATGGCTTTCTCGGGGGTAATAATCCCTCCAAAAAAAATCCAGTCGCTCAATCAATCCACTATTTGTGGGACGCTGCTGTGCGCAATTCGCTGCCGCATTTGGCCCACAAAATACACAGTCGCTTTACAGTATATTCTGTGAAGCGTTATGAGACGTCTCAATGACCTAATAAGGCGCTACATCAAATGCAAGGATTATTACGTTATATTATTATATTGTATGTAAAACAACAGAATGACCCACATCACAGACAGAGGTGTTATCAATCTCACTCAATCCAATTGTCCTATGTGCTAGTCCACGATTTACCACCAGATGCCCTCAGTTCCATATCCAAAGTAGGTCTATTGGAATAAAACACACAACAACAAAAAATGACACCTGTGAGGAGCCTTTCACGTTGGGCGGACGTCCCAAATCAGAGATTTCCACCCAAGCTGGGCGTTCTGATCAGGAGAGGTGGAGGGCAGGGAGGGTAGGGGTGGGAGGGTGACCAAAGGCGCAGTCATAGAGGCCCCCCCCTGACCCCCCACACACAGAAACTTCAAGACTACAACAGGATTTAAGGAATTTTGGATTTCGGTGTAGGGAACAATTCTCATTTACACAGCGCCACCCCCTCTCCCCCACCCCACCTTGGTCAGCGTCCCAGAGCGCTTGATATGGCGGAGCACGAAGCCAAGCTGGGGGGAGGGGAGGTGACCGTAGGCACGGTCGAATAGGAAGTTCTTTAGGCGCGACTTGAAGATGGGGAGGCAAGGGGCAGGTTGGAGGGAGGGATAGAGCAAGAGTGTTCCAGAGTTTCGGGAAGCAATGGCTGAAAGCGCAGCCACCAGTGGTGGAGGGGAGGGCACGAGGGACATGCAGGAGGCCGGAGCCAGTCGAGCGGAGGCAGCGGATAGTGGGTTGGGGGGTAAGTAAGCAGGTCGGAGAGGCAGGGAGGTGCCAAGGCGTGAAGGGGCTTGAAAACGAGTGTGAGGATCTTGAAATCGATCCGTTCGGTGATGGGGAGCCAGTGGAGCCCGGCCAGAACTGGTGTGACGGGGGTACGGAGTTCAGCACGGGCGAGTACGCGGGCGGCGGAGTTTTGGATCAGCTGGATCCTGTGCATGGTGGAACTGGGGAGACCCGCAGAGAGGGTATTTGAAAACTCTACAAAAAACACAGTCACTGCACATAAAAGCAGGTTCCTTGCGAAGACATTGTGGGAGTTCTAGATCAACTTAAATGCAGAGATTATTATTATTATTATTATTATTTTCTGGGACAACTGAGGTGCCAGTATAATAGGTGGGGTGGGATGGCTGGGGGAGGAGAGAGCAACATCTGGTGGAGCAGCTGATTACTGTATCACTGATCTCTCTCTCTATCTCTCTCAGTCACTCACTCACTCACTCACTCACTCACTCCTGTCCTTAGTTCATCAGTTTCGGAAATATCGTCACGTATGCGAAAGAAAAGTTAACTTTCAAAATCAGCTGTTCCTTAAGTCAGCGACCAGAGAGATAAACACTTGCACACACACACACACACACACAGCTAATTAATATCTAATTTATTCCACGTCTATAATTCCACCCGCTTGTAAAGGTAAGTTATTTTATTTTGCAATGTGAATTGCAACAAGTTTCTGGCGTGAGATTGTTTCATATGGAAATTTTTGATTTTTTTTAATATATATGTGCGTATAATAATGTATATTTCAGCACCTTGGGTCATCCTCTCGATGTGAAAGGCGCTCTACAAATGTAAATTTGTTGTTGTTATAATAATCCTTTCATTTGATATCTAATGTATTCTGCGGAGTGCTTTGAGACGTCTAGAAGACGTGATAAGACGCTACATCAAATGCAAGGATTATTATTATATATAGCACTTTAACACGTCTCAAAGAGCTTCACAGAATATACTATAAAGTGGAGTGACTGTGTATTTCGTGCGGGAAAACCGAAACCGATTGCACACAGTAGTTTATATAAATAGAAACTTATAGAAATTTGTAGAAAATGTGTATTATTTATCCCTCCCCATTGCACATTTTTTAAAAAATCATCAATCATCAATCAGAAAAGAAAATTGCAAACACTCCCCCCCCCATTTATTTGTGTCACATCCTCTGTTCTAGGTTTTTTTTAAAAAAGATTATTGCTTAAAAGTCTGTAAAAATGCTATTTGAGAGCTCTTCCCCCCACCCCTAATTTTTTTTAAAAAAAAGCGTGATCTTATTCTCCCCCCACCACCAAAAAATTGGGAGGGGGGGGGGATAATATCACACTTTTAAAAAGAACATAATTGAACCAACAATAATACAAAAAAATCTCCCTGTCATATCCTCTGTTCGTGCTTTTTTTTAAAGGTTGTGGTTTAAAAGTCTGTACGAATGCAATCTGAGCCCCCACCGCCCCCCCCCACCCACTCCCCCGCACCCCCACCATCAAAAAAACAACAGCCTTTGTGTGTTTTGGGGGATGGGATAAGATATTGTCGTTTCTGCGCCGTGGATTTTAATGCACTTAATGTGATTTTCCCAACATATGGTCCCCCGCTTGCTCGCCTCGTTAATGATCCTTTTTTTCCCCCTTCATTAATAGCCTTAAAATCACCCTTTAGCCGTTGCAATGCAGTTGAGTTGTGAGTTGCTGTGCGACCGCAAGTAACCTCTCTGATATGACCGAGAGTAATCCCAGAAGTCCACTGCAGCAGAGAAGAGAAACGCCATCACTTCACTAAACGTTAGATAGAATAGAATAGAATAGATCAAAGGCAGATACACAGACAGATAGACAGACAGACCCAACCCTGGATGGCAATGATGTAGATAGAGTGCTGCACAATATTATTATTGCCAAATAAAATTAATTAAAAATTAACAAATCACACACCTTCTCCTCCAATGATTAGCTCATTGTTTAAAATAAATTCTACGGATTAGTCACCACTGTTTGTGGGGACGCTGCTGTGCGCAATTGGCTGCCACGTTTCGCCCACAAAATATACAGTCGCCACACTTGACACTGTATCCTGTGAAACGCTTTGAGACGTCTCAAAGACGTGATTAGGGCACTGTATCAAATGCAAGGATTATTATTATTATTAATGCTCTTCAAAAAAAATTCATACTGTATTTCCTTTGCTGTCGCTGTTCATTCCTTGATTCGGTGGTTCCCTTATTTTTGCAATGCCATTTCTTTCCAGAGCAAACAATAATAATAATTATTAATAATAATAATCCTTGCATTGGATACAGCGCCTTATCACATCTTCAAGACGTCTCAAAGCGCTTCACAGAATATACTGTCAACTGAATTGACTGCATATTTTGTGGGTGAAACACGGCAGACAATTTGCGCACAGCAGCGTCCCACAAACAGTCATGGATTGAGTGACCGAATTATTATTTTTATTTTAAGTTTTCTGAAGGGATTATTGCCCCCCAGAAAGCGATCTGCCAGTCCTGACATGGGGGCTTGAACCCAGAACCTTCTGCCTCAGACGCGAGAGCACTATCACTGCGCGAGGCTGACACAATACAACAACAGCTTGCGTTTAGATCGCGCCCTTCACGTGGGGTAGCGTCCCGGAGCGCTCGACAGTGGCGGAGTCTGACCCCGAACCCGGGCCCTCTCGCTTGCGAGGCGAGGGCGCTAACCACTACACTACAGTACTCCAAATTGGCTTCACGACCGCAATCCCTTGCGAAGCCCTACGCAGTTATCTCTACCCGATGCAAGGACCTGGTGGGTCCCACCCTTGCTTAGAAACATTGCAAACTTTGATGAGAGAGAGAGAGGGACAGAGATGGGGCAGGGGAGGTGGGGGTGTTGAGGTAGGGGTGGGGTAAGAGAAGATGGCCAAAAAAATAGATGAAATTAGGAATATTCAGAACAACGCCTTTGGATGCGTTTCCTTTTTAACTAAATCAGCTCTTCCCTTTTTCTATGACATAACCTCCAGAGAGAGAGAGAGAGAGAGAGACAGACAGACAGAGAGAGAGAGAGAATAGAGAGAGAGAGAGAGAGGAGATGAGAAGACCTACATAGATAGCAGCTGTCACATTTGGGAGAGGAATACAATTTGAAGAGAGATGCAAAAAAAATTATGGTCTCACAACATTTGAGTCGTTGTGCAATTGTGCTCTGGTGAGTTGCATTTTTATTTCAAGGATATGGCTCATTTTTTGGGGGGTAAAATAAAGTGGACAATTCAGCAACAGGTAGAAAATCTTGACTTGCATCCCCCCCCCCCACCCCCACCCACCCAACCCACCACCCACCCACCCAACCCACCACCACCCCATCACCATCACCAACCCATCACCTCTCAAAGATGCTCAGTCAATTTTCATTGGGATGTTTTGGGGTGTGTGTGTGTGGGTGGGGGGGTGGGGGGGGTTGGGGGGGGAGAGAAGAGAGGAAAGGGAAGAGGCAATGAGGAGGGGGAGAAGGTGGGGGAAATGGGGAGAATGGGGAGAATGGGGAGGGAGAGAGGGAGAGGAGGATGAGAAAAAAAATGTGATGTAAATGACCGCATTTTCCTACTCAAATGATGTGGGACGAGAGAGAATAGATACACACACACACACACACACATCATCTGTCTATTTATTTATCTGTCTGGAGAAAGCATTCCACTTGGGTTGTGGGTGTGGGGGGAGAAAAAAAGGGAGAGACAGACTGAGAGATACAGAGAAAGAGAGAGAGAGAGGGAGAGGTGGGTGAATGGATGGATGAGTGAATGAAGAATGAATGAATGAATATGAATGAAAGGATGGATGTAGTAATAAGAGTCTTGTTCATTGCAATCTTGGTGTGTGAGGGTGTGTGTGAGGGTGTGTGTGAGGGTGTGTGTGAGGGTGTGTGTGTGTCTGTGTGTGTATTTGATGCATCGTTGAGATGATGTCAATTTAAAGGTCCGCGTTAAAAAGTGCATTAATTCCATCCGTTCCCACAGATGGTTCTCTCTCCTCTCTTTCTACCTCTCTTATCTCTCTCTCTCTCTTTCTCTCCTTCTATCTCACCATCTCTCCCCCCTTTTCCCTCCCGTGAGCACATTAAGGGGATAATTGGAAGGGGGAAAAATGGCTTCAGGCATTGCAACCATTTCTGGCTCCAAATCCATAAATCTCCCCAATATATATATATATAATATATATAATATTGGTATTTTTGCCTCTCCCTTATTCTTTGCAATGGATTTGAATTGCATTAATTCTCCCCCCCCACCTCCCCCCCCACCCCCACACACACACACATACATCTTTTGCAAAAAAAAATCCAATCCAATATCTCTGGACAGTCAACAGAAATGGATGGTTCTGTGTGTGTGTTTTTTTGTGTATTTTATACTTATTCAGTTGTTTGTCGAACGAATAAACCGATCCCTTATTCTTCAGTCCATTTGTGCATTTGGTCAAATGTAATTTCAGTCAAAGGCTTTTCCCACCTAATCCAACCTAATCCACATTTTTTTTGATGTTTTATTATATATAGATATAGATATATAGATATAGTTACTGGATTTATTTTAGTTATGTTGTGACATCTGTCAGAATGTCTAGTGTTTTTTTAATGCAGTTTTTTTTCTCCCTCTCATTACCTCCCTCTCACTCTCTCTCTCTCTCCCTCCATCTCTCTGTGGTGATGCAGAATAAAATTAATAATTCAGAAAGCTCTGTAAATCCATACAGTTATGCAGGAGTCTATCTCATCTTCTCTCTGCCTCCACCCATCTTCCTATGTTGGTGCGGGGGTTTTAAAAACAAAAACACACCAATCTCCTATTCTCTCTATGTTTTAACCTTTGCTTTTTCATTTTGTTTCGCCCGCAAAACATACAGTCAATTCACTTTACAGTATATTCTGTGAAGCGCTTTGAGACATCTCAATGATGTGATAAGGCGCTATATTAAATGCAAGGATTATGGTTATCTCCCCTGAGAGGACATAGCTCTGGTCAACAGTAGAGTCCTGCCCAATAGTGTGTCAATTCATTCTTTCACCTCAAAGTGATTTTTTTTTTGGTAAATGTTGATTTCTGAAGACTTTGTCTGGTACAGAAACATTTCCTTTCTATGATGTAATGTAACGGTCGTCAGGATGAAATATGTGACCTATAGCATCCTTCCTACTCCGATCCCTACCCCCTCCACCAACTTCCTCCTTCCCTCTCTATAAATTCAGTCAATCCACTTTACAGTGTATCCTGTGAAGCGCTTTGAGATATCCTTCTGAAGTAAGGAGGTGCCATATCAAATGCAAGGACTATTATCATTATTATATTATCTTAAACTGAGGTCCCTTCAGATAGATGCCAATGAGGACTGATGCTATCAGCAATATGGTGAAGTTTCTCCTAATGTCATGGCCAACAGTTCTCCACCTAAGTTGATCATTCACTTTGTGGCTGTTTGCGGGACTTGGGCTTGGGGACAAAATACACAGTAAATCCTTTGAGACGTCCTCCTGACGTGGAAGGTACTGTATCCCCAATTGGCCACAAAATGTTTGGATGAATCACTCTGGGACGCTACCCTGCGCGAGGGGCACGATACAAAACGCAAGTTGTTGTTATTGTTGTATTAAATACATGTATTATTGTTATTTTATTGTTGACTTATTTTTGGTCAGACGAGTGTCTGATACATGCGGAAACCCATCACCGTACTTCAGAGTCTACAAACCACAATGAGAATTCATTAAATCCCACTTACACAATGGAAAATCCAGAGATAAATCGTTGGAATGGAATGTACTCCCTCTCTCTCTCTCTCACTCTCTGGAGGGATGCATCCTGCTTACCTAATTCCGGAAAGAATTAGGCACAGGTTGGCAAGAGCCAAGGCTTTGGGGACTCCAACATTTATTATTTTATTTCTTAAATAATTTTAAAAATATTATTTTATTAACCTGCATTTGGAGCGTGTTGGGTCTAGTTGATCTGCAAAAATTACTTCGGTCAATAGAAATATCTGGACACCTATTGATTTCAAATATTCATTTAGGTCATTAAACACACTTGGTATATGTTGCTTCCCATTGATCTGTAACTCTTACCCCCTCAAACAAGAAGATTAAATCATCAGATGCATTTACTTGCAATTGAAATTCGTGCCTTAATGCAGTAATTAGGGAACATTAGAGTTGGCATTGTACAAGGATGAGATCAAATGGACGAAGGGTTTTTCTTCATCCAAATATTTTGCAGCCATTTTGGGATAGAGAGCACTTTGATAAAAATAATATAATAATCCTTGCACTTGATATAGCACTTTATCAGGTTGTCGAGGTGCCTCAAAGCTCTTCACACCATATATTGTCAAGTGGAGTTGACTCTGTATCATAGATTGAGTGACGCAATTCTTATTATTTTTTGAAGGGATTATTACCCCCTGAAAAGTGATCTGCCAATCGATTGACAACCAGGTTCGTACTTACTGCTGGCAAACAGGCGCGTGGAGTGAGGAAACTTGCCTAAAGTATTGCCCTGCCCGGGAATCGAACCCGGGTCCTCTCGCTTGCGAGGCGAGCGCTCTAACATTACACTACAAGACTCCACACAGCCCACAACATGACATCACCAGAGTATGATGTCGTTATGATCAGATTCCCACCATGTGATGATGTGACATCCTGTTCTGCTGATGTCATGTTCTCGGGTTCCTCAATGTCATCGAACATCTGATCTTTGTTTAGCATTGTTCACGTTTGGTGTCTTTTTTATATTAAATATTAAGTAATTGCCTCGAATCCACTTCACAAAGACAACTTGGGGGAAAGGGGAAGGGGTTGGTGGGTGGGAATGGGGGAGAGAATCCCTAATCAACAAGCAGATGGGAAAGGAGTTTCTTTTCTCTCTCCCGGTGTCCTGACCGACAATCATGGCTGTTTGTGGGGCTATGTTGTGTAATACAGCTCCTCGTCTTCGAGATGTCTCAAAGCGCTTCACAGAACACACTGTAAAGTGTAGTGACTGTGCATTTGTGGGCGAAGGAGGCGAGAAGGGAGAGGGGGAACGGGTCCGAGCGTTTCTGTTCATATTCAAGTCACTTACAGCATTAGTCTCACAAAGGTGCAAGTTCTCACCTGTCCCTTCCACCCCCTCTTACTCCCCCCTTACATCCTTTGTGAGGGCACACGTCTCGCATGCGAGAGGACCTGGGTTCAATTCCTGGGCCGGGCAAAACCTTAGGCAAGTTTCCTTACTCCACACGCCTCTGTTTACCCAGTAGTAAGTAGGAACCCGGTTGTTGGTTGATGGGGGATCGCTTTCCGTGGGCAACAATCCCTTCAAAAAAATAAATAATAATTTGGACACTCAATCCATGATTGTTTGTGGGACACTGCTGTGTGCAATTGGCTGCCGCTTTTCACCCCCAAATTGACTTTACAGTATATTCTGTGAAGAGCTTTGAAGGGACTATATTGAATGCAAAGATTATTATTATTGAGGCTCTCCTGACTGGCTCCGATCAGCGCCTCCTCACCTCAGGCGCTGACAGCATCACCATCCATGGTTGTGCCCTCCGTCTTGCTAAGCCAGTCCGGAACCTTGGGATTTGTTTGACCCTCAACTATCCTTTCTACCCCACATGTGCACCATGACCCACTCTGCTTTGCCCCATCTCTGCAACATCGCCCACCTCCGCCTCTGCCTCACACCGCAGGCCGCCAAAACCCTCATACACCTTCCCTGGATCCATCCCTCCTCTCCAGCTACTGCCCCCTCTAACCTCCCATTCCTCTCCAAGGTCCTGGAACGAGTCGTCGCGTCCCAGTTCCGCTCCTTTCTCTCTCGCCATTCCCTCTTTGAACCCCTCCAATCCGGCTTCCGCGCTGCCCGGAAACAGCCCTGGTCAAAGTCACAAATGACATGCTGAACATCTGTGATCAGGGCTCCCTCTGCCTCCTTATCCTCCTCAACCTCTCTGCCACTTTCGACACTGTCGACCACTCCATCCTCATACTCTGCCTCTCAGCTTTACTTAATTTTGACGGCTGCTCCACGTCCCCCGACCCACTCGCCCCACCATTGGCGGGAGAGCCTTCAGCCACTCTGCCCCCAACCTCTGGAATTCCATCCCCCAGTCACTCTGCCTCTCCCCCTCCTTAGCCTCCTTCAAGTCCCGCCTCAAGACCCTCCTCTTCGACCATGCCATCGGCCACCCCCCTTTCCCTGCCCTCCCTTCTCCCCACCGACCCCAGCTCGGGTCTGAAATGCTGTACACTGTCCAGCGCCTTGGGACGTCCTCCCGACGTGAAAGGCGCTATACAAATGTAATCTTATTGTTGTTGTTATACACGCCTTCATTACATTGAGGCTCGACTATGCAACCTCATTGCTTGGACCTCCTGAACTCCTCCCTTCAGAGGCTGCAGATCATCCAGAACTCTGCAGCCCGTGTCCTCTCCCGCATCAGGCTCCGTAACCCTATCGTCCTGATCCTCGCCCGACTCCATTGGCTTCCCATCACACAGAGGATACAGTTCAGGATCCCGGTCCTCACCTTCAAAGCCCTCCACGGTCTTGCTCCCTCCTACTTCTGCGACCTCCTAACCCCCTACCATCCTGCCCGCTCCCTCCGCTCAGTGGGCTCCGGCCTGCTTCATGACCCCCACCTCACTCGCCCCATTATTGTCGGGCGGGGCTTCCGTCACTTTGACCCCACCCTCTGGAACTCCATCCCGCAGTCCCTCCGTCTCACCCTCTCCCTCGCCACCTTCAAGACCCATCTCAAGAACCTCCTCTTTGACCGCACTTTCGATCCCCCTGCTTCCCCCCCTGCCCTCCCTCCTTCCCCCACCCCGACCCCCAGCTCGGGTCCGTAACTCTGTCTGTTCAGCGCCTTGGGACCTCCTCCCGACCTAAAAAGCGCTTTACAAATGTAATTTTCTTGTTGTTGTAATCTTAACAATGAACCTTATTCACATCAGAAATCCCTTTACACAAAGAATGCTGTAGTGACAGAATCGGGGTGTTTAAAAGGTGGATAAGATACCAAACCACCTTGATTCCTTTGCATTTTGGTTTTCCAATTGCATATTGAAGGACAACTGTAATTGCCCCTAATTACTGGAACGCTCTGTCCCCCCCCTTCCATCCCCACATCTTTCACCTATCTCTAAATAAATATAATAATAAGAATTTGGTCACTCAATCCACGACTGTTTGTGGTACATTGTGTGCACAATTGGCTGCTGCGTTTCATCCACAAAATATATATATATTTTAAATATATATATTCAATTCACTTTACAGTATTTTCTGTGAAAAGCTTCGAGACGTCCCAACGACGCGATAAGGCAGGGGACCTGGGTTGGATTACCAGGCCGGGCGAAATGCAAGGATTATTATTATTATTATTGTTCAATCCCAACTGAAAACCTCTTCATCCACACCTATGGTCACGTCCCTTTCACCTTCTCCCTCGGTGTCCAACTCCGCCATTGTGAAGCCCTCTGAAATATTCTCCTGTGTGAAGGGTGCTGTATATTGTGCGCTTGCTGTTGTGATTTCCTCTGTATCCTTGTGTTCGCTCACGGTTACTGTCTGCCGGTTCCCTGGCCAACAAATCCCCCCCCCAAATAGAATTGGTCGCTCACTCCATTGCTGTTTATGGGACGCTGCTGTGCGCAAACTGGCTGCTATGTTTCGCTCACAAAAATATCACAGTATATTCTATGAAGCGCTTTGAGATGTATCCTTTGAGATATCTGAATGACATGGTAAGACACTATATCAAATGCAGTATAATTATTAATAAGATCAATCCCATTTCACCTAAGTCTCTCTCTCTCTCTCTCTCTCTCTTGTAGAGTATGGCTGAAAAGCCAATTGACCCTGGCTGCGTATCGATTGCGTTGGAAGACACGGTGTGCAATGGGGGAGCCCAGGATGCCCCACTGCTAACCACCCACCTCAAGAAAGTAGAGAACCACATCACGGAAGCACAGAGATTCACCCACCTTCCCAAACGCCCTGCTGTGGACATAGAGTTCAATGACCTCTCCTACTCAGTCAGTGAAGGGTCCATCTGGAAGAAAAGAGGTAAGGAGGTGAAACGCTTGGCATTCACACAGCGCCCTTCACCCTTTGGAAGTCCTGCAGCGTAGGATTTAGAGCACTCGCCTCACAAGCTTGAGGACCCGGGTTCGATTCCCGGGCGGGGCGAAACTTTAGGCAAGTTTCCTTACTCCACACACCTCTGTTGACCCAGCAGTAAGTAGGAACATGGTTGTTAGTCGATTAGCGAATTGCTTTTCGGGAGTAATAATCCCTACAAAAATACAATAAGATAAAATGTAAAAAAATGCGGTCACTCAATCCACCACTGTTTATGGGAAGCTGCTGTGTGTAATTGGCCGTGTTTCACCCACAATATACAGTCAATTCACTTTACTGTATATTCTGCGAAGCGCTTTGAGATGTCTCGAAGACGTGATAAGGCGCTGTATCAAGTGCAAGCATTATTATTATTCATTCAGGGCAGCGTGACGTGGAGTAACAACCACTTATTGTGTCCAATTCGATTATCAATGCAACATTGACCTCAACAACAACAACAACAAATTACATACATTTACACAGCGTTTTTCACATCGGAAGGACGTCCCAAGGCGCTGGACAGTTAAGCGTTTGCACCTGGCCTGGGGGTTCGAATCAAGAGGGGTGGAGGGCAAGGGTGGGGGGTGTGGGAATGGTTGTGTGGCCGAATGCATCGTTAAAGAGGAGGGTCTTGAAACGGGCCTTGAAGGAGGCGAGGGAGGGGGCGAGGAGAAGGGACTGTGGGATAGAGTTCCAAAGGGCCGGGTGGGGGACATGGAGCAGGTCAGTGCCTTCTGAATGGAGGGAGTGGGGAGGATGGCAGGGTAACGGCTACTTTAAGGCTGAGATCGTAACAATTTTATGGCTACTTAAGTCTGTTTCCTTGGGGGCTTTTGACTTGCAAAAATGCAAGATTTTTTTGGTTTGTCTCTCTCTCTCTCTCTTTATTCTCTCTCCTCTATCTCTTCCCAGTTTCTTGCTGCATAAAAAGCAGAAATTCTATCGATTCCATTGGTCAAGTAACATGAACTTTACCACGGTGTTCGCTGGGTGGGTGGGTGGGTTGGGTGATTCCAAGTCCCGATGTGGTGCTTGAACTCACAACCTTCGGCCTCAGAGGCGAGAGCGGTACCACAATCTGACACAAAGATTAGCAGAAACAGGGACGAGAAGACAGGAGAAGACAGTAACTTTATCACTTGATTTAGAAGAATATCAATAAGCAATCTAGGCTTCAGCCTTGTGTGTTGTGAAGTCCATACGTATATACTCTTATAGATAGATTTCTGTTAGGAAAAATGTCTCGGAATATAATGTTGACAAGGTATGTATGATCTGGACGAGGACATTGAATGCAAGTATCTAAATTCGCGGATGACACTAAACTCGGTGGGAGAGTAAGTTCTGAGGATGATGCAAAAAGATTGCAATGGGATATATATAGTCGAGGGGAGTGGGCGAGGAGGTGGCAGATGGAATTTAATGTGGGGAAGTGTGAAGTTATTCACCCAGGTAGAAAAATAGAAAAACAGATTATTTTTCAGAGGGGGAGAGAATAGACAGTGTTAGTGTGCAGAGGGATTTGGGTGTCCTTGTACACCAGTCTCAAAAAGTTAGTTTGCAGGTGCAGCAGCAACTAAGAAGGCGTTCGCGTTCATTGCAAAGGGTTTAGAGTAAAGAGTAGGGAAGTCTTGCTGCAACTGTATAGGGCCTTGTGAGACCGCACCGAGAGGATCGTGTGCAGTTTTGGTCCTTATTTAAAAAAGGACATACTTGCCCTCGAGGGGTGCAGCGTAGATTCACTCGGTTAGTGCCTGGAATGAGGGGACTGACCTATGAGGAGAGGCTGAATAAACTGGGGCTGTACTCTCTGGAGAACAGAAGAATTAGGGGGGATCTTATTGAAACATATAAGGTTCTTAAAGGGCTGATAAAGTAGACACTGAGGGACTGTTTCCCCTGGAAGGAGAATCTATAACCGGGGGTCACAGTCTGAAAATTCAAGGGTCAGCCTTTTAGAACAGAGTTGAGGAAACATTTCTTCACTCAGAGGGCCGTGAATTTATGGAACTCACTACCGCAGAAGGCTGTAGATGTCAGTCCTTGAACATCTTCAAGGCTGAGACTGATAGATTTTTAAAAAATAGAGGGATTAGGGGATATGGGGATAGGGCTGGTAATTAGAATTAGGTCTGAAGATCAGCCATGATCTAATCCAATGGCGGGGCACAGGCTCGAGGGGCCGAATGGCCTACTCCTGCTCCTAATTCTTATGTTCTTATGTTCTTATGTATAGTTTGAGTGGGACACGACATGTCATACGACTGCCAGGATGGTGCCAGGTGAACTGGATGGACCTTAGTCTTCTTTCACCGAGCAAATTCTTATGTTCTTAAGTCCTCTGGACCTCAATCCAATTACTGCCTTGCCGCTCTCTCTCTCTCTCTCTCTGTCTCTCACTCTCTCTCCGTCTCCAGCTCTTTCTGTATATTGATGACTGGAAGCTCTGGAGGCCACAGAGGCTTTTGAATACCTTGAACCATGGAGATGCCAAGTGTGGCAACTGGCCAATGAGTCATGAGGTCTGGCTTTAATGTTCTAGAGTACTTTGCTGAGAATTAAACTCAGGAGTTTTAATGATGATGATAATCATAATACTCCTTGCATTATAGCGCCTTATTACATCATTGTATTACATTGTCTCAAAGCGCTTCATAGAATATTCTGTAAAGAGGATTAATTTGTGGGTGAAGTATGGCATCCAATTATGCACAGCAGTGTCCCACAAACAGTCGTGGGTTGAATGCCCAAATTTTTTGGGGGGAGGGATTGGTTGGATCCTTAACATCGACCAAAACCATCTCATCTGAAGGACAGCACCTCAAGTGGGGATTGGGGGGGTGAGGTGGAGAGAATGAATCTTTTAGAGATGTCAGCATGGGCTTGATAGGCCGAATGGCCTCCTTCTTTCTGTATGCTTAAAATCCCACCATTTTCCAGTCTCGACGTTGGGCAGTTTAGTGCTCAGTGCAGTATTTACCTGGGATTGTGAGCGAGCAGTAAGCAGATCTGTTATTTACAGCAGCTGATTAGCCAGACTTGGAGTGTTGCCACCAGTCAGACATGCACATTTGGCTTTGCTGAGACCCTTTGTGTCCTCTGGGGGATTTGCGTTGTTCCCAGTGAGACTCCACGTCTGACCTATTACCTACTTAGCTATCGATCTCCTACGAGGGGAAAGTGATGCCTCTCATATCTCGCTCGTGGTGACCGGTGCGGGAAGCATTTCATGGGTAACTGCTGTATCTGTGCCAGGACGTGCCATTGTGACCTTCCTGGTTCAGCACACATCTCAAAGGGACGGCGTCTTAAAGAGAGTCTTAAAGGGACAACATCTTCTCAGTGACTGCCATCTGGTGATGTTATGGAGGTTGATATCAACCAAAATCATGAGTTTGTCCTGAACCAACTCAACACTCATCATGTATGTTTTGACACCTGTATTTGCTATGAGTTGCCGTGATAAGGAAAGGGTGTTAATTCCTCCCCTTCAACAAATACAAGGCAGTGGATTGCTGTAGCTCAGTGGTTAGAGCGTTCGCCTCGCAAGCGAGAGGACTTGAGTTTGATTCCCGGTCAGGGTGAAACCTGACAGGGTGGTTAGGCAAGTTTCCTTACTCCACACACATGCCTCTGTTTACCCAGCAGTAAGTAGGAACCCGGTTGTTGGTCAATTGGCAGATCACTTTCCTGATAATCGCTTAAAATAATTTGGTCCCTCAATCCACGACTGTTTGCGGGACATTGCTGTGGGCAATTTTCTGCAGCTTTTCACCCACAAAATATACAGTCAATTCACAGTGCATTCTGTGAAGCGCTTTGAGACGTCTCAAAGACGTGATCAGGCGCTATATCAAATGCAAGGATTATTATTATCAGTGTTGGTAAAATGGATGAACGAGTGTGGCAGGGAAGAGGTTAAGACCAAGTTGCCTCAACTGCAAATTTGGTGAAATAAAGCGAAATCAAATCCCACCTAAGAAGCTTAATGCTTCCGAGGATGTTTTTGTTTTAATTGCAGACCTGATCATGTGCTTAACTTGATTAGAAGAAACATGAGGTGGCAGATGAGAGACAACTGGGCCTAACTCATTAGCTAGTTCATTCAGTCTAATTGAACGCTATCCAAATTATTCCACTGCCTGGAAATCTGTATGAATTTAGTGCGTGTGTGTTTGTGTGTATTTAACTGCTTGTGAAATCCGAGAACTTCACTTTGTGCATTGGTTTCAGGAAATGGAGCCACATATTGAATTGAGACTCGTGTAGGTGGTTTGTGTAGCTGAGCAGAGCTTAGTGCTCACCTGCTTTGTAAAGCCATGGTGGTCAACTTGTGTCCTGGGGCTGTCAAGAGTGCAATCCCCCCCCCCGCCCCCCGTAGCATAGTGGTTGGAGTGCTCGCCTTGCAGTGAGAGGACCCGAGTTCGATTCCCAGGCAGGGCCACACCTTAGGCAAGTTACCTTATTCCACAAACACACATACACACACACACACACACACGCCTCTGTTTACTTAGCAGTAAGTAGAAACCCTGTTGTTAATCAATTAGCGTATCACTTTCTGAGGGTAATAATCCCTTCAAAAAAAGTCTGGCCAAGTCCGTGTTTGATCGGTACGGTAGTGCGTTTTCAGTATTTTTTCTTGGACGGATGTATGGCATACATCAAGAAACATTCAATCAAGAAAATGTATTTTGCTGGCCGACCATAAAGCTTGGGTTAGGCGACATGAAGCAAAATTGCGGTGGTTGGGGAGGGGGTAGGGAAGGGGGAATTGTTACCAGGACGGGTGGTTTAGGCCAGGACTTATTTGAGAACTGTCTCGATGCTATAATAGGAATTTGGGTTCAAGGAAAAGATGGGCTCTCTTCAGCTAAACTGATCTTCTGATAACTTTTGGTTCTTGTGAGCGTGGAGGAGATGGTAAGTGGAAATGAGCTGTG